TAATTCTTAACGAATCCCGATGAAAATGTATTAGCACAGCATTGAAATACTTTAGATACCTGCTATCAGTATTAGGACAGAAGTGCCACTTAAATACTTTTCAGGGGAAGTTCCCTTAAAAACACAATATTACAATGCGTTACTACGACTGACTTAGAAAATTACTCAATGGACATATTCAGCACAAGCGACTCAATTAGAAAAACACACTTAAATACGGTCGTAACTCACACTGTGATCAAAACACTTGGAACTATGATCTAGTACTCTAAAACGGTTATTTGAACCAAATTTCAACTCCTGTTTAAATATCGAATCGATATTATTATTAGTCCAAAGCTAGTGCAGTTTACAGGGGGAAGCATGAGTTCGTATGTAGTTAATGAAATGCACTTTAACCCTCGTAAGAATTTTAAATGACAATTCAAACAACCGTGATTTATGTTACAATATGAGAGTTGTCTTCATATGAAGACTGCACAATCGATATCACTTGGAGAGAAACAGAAAGCTGAAAAATACTAAATAACTTTCGTTATAGTGTCGTGGCTGTACACTAGGGAAAATACCCAAATAGAATGAAAATATCATCCACTACTTCTTGAATCTTAGTAGCTCTCAGGATGGTATTGAATGGTGAAGAAGAAACCTATTTCAAAACTAATCAATTAACCACTAATCTTTAAACTTAACTTTGGTTATTGACTTATATAGGTGTATACTTTTCATTTTTCTCACCACTTGCAAGGGGACTTATTATTAAGTAATGGCCGAATTCTACTTGGTAATGAGTACTGTCGACAAAAAGGCTCGATATCATGTTGTACTAGTGTGGTGGTGTGATACGGACAATGTGTTCCAACGGAATATTATTCTCACATATTCCCACAGTTCAGTTCGGTATTAGCAACAGAATACGATACATCTATTTGAACATTCAATTTCATGTCGTTTAATGTAAGCCGAAATCACACGCTCAATGATTGTTTAGAGAATATAAACTGTACATATATAAACAGTGGTTTCATCAATTAAAAAGATACTTTGGCTTCCATGTCTTGCCTTCTGCAGTTACACTACATTTATTGCTAAATACTTGAATGCAGTCATTTGGAAACCGTCACTGACTTATACTTTTTGCCTTCTTGAGGTCATCTCAAGACGACTCATAAACGCCGAGGACATACAAGTTTATGTCACCATCAATGTCAAAATAAACTATGGAAAGGATAGAAAAACAACTAACTGACCAAAATAAAAGAAAATACTACTGTAATTAAGATAATTCCAGAATACTGGGAATACGTTACATATGTCTACCTTCTGATCATTTACGTGAATGTGTAAAATTTAGTCATTGTAATAAAGATGCATATGAATATGTCTGAAGTGTGGAAAGGAAAGCAGTTACTGAGGTAAAACTAAACTGTGTAGATAATAGCTATGTAAGATATTGTATTTGTGAGATGTTTGCATGAGTAATCTACAAAAAGTTATGTCGACGACATACTGATTTTGTTAAACAGGATAAATAAAACAAATACTGTACTAGAAATATTGGACAGAGGTCCAATTCAAGAAGAAACAAGAACTTAATACTGTGCTTCATATTCTGGAGTTATACGTCGCTCAAAGACATGGACCAACTAAGCAAAAGTCACGACTAGAATTATAATAACAATAGTGTAACAACAGTATAACTGTATTCTGTTTTGTTCTGTAGCCTCCATTAAGGTGTGTAGGTAAAAAAAACATGATCTTAGTATTCAGAAGAAATCGGCATGTAGTTACTATCTATGTTGGCAATCACCTTAGTAGCTTCACTCCTCTATTTCCCCCCCCCCTTGTCATACATTTCCCCAACTTCTTACCTTAATAAGTTTAATTTTAACTGTGGTCACAATTCACCGCACATTGCTCTCATATTGATAAGATTATTCATAAAAACATCTTACAAATATAATATCTTCAATAACTATTATCCAAACAACTTCGTTGTGCTTTAGCAAGTGCTTTTCTTTCCAAATTTCAGACATAATCAAATGCATTCTTTAAAATTATAAATGTGAAATTTTACAAAGATGTACGTCAATTATAAGAAGGTAAAAAGATTCAGCTTATTCACAACATTCCCTAAAACTGTTTATTCTTGCTTCGTTTGCAAGCATAGAAAACGAAATATGTGTAGAAATATTAACTATAAAAAAAACCCAATTCAAATTGATCTAAGTGCTTTGCAAAAAAAATTAAGCTAAATGTTTACTTGAAGAGGACACAATCTCCTCCAACGGAAATCACGTATAAGCATCGGTATAATTTGAATTAACTCACTTTTCCTTAGGAACATGAGAAGATATGAATGGAATGAAATTAAATATCTAATTACATGTGTGCACTCGTTTACTACAAAGCACACCTAATTTGACGGCTATTTTAGTTAAAGATAATAAGTACAAACTCACGAAATAATAAAATAGATGGACATCGAAACTGTGCGCCAGACTTCATCTTACTAAACGTTACAATAATTGGATAAAAACCACTGATATAAAATCAGGCTCACTCCAACTGATGAAATCATTTGCCGCTTTATAAACAAATTTATATTACAGCGAAACAAATATACTCTACTTACACAAAAGAAAACATTGGCTAGATAAATAGCTAGGTTAACTTAATAAAGTATAAATAACACTTGACAGTTCATGTGTATCAGACAAAAGTTAACCCAAAAGCATTTCGCCCATTATTTCGAAAACACGATGCATGAAGTACATCTCGTACAAGTGATAACTTAGAGGGGAGGTAAAATGTTGCTTATTTTAAAGGTAATAAGGCGATGAGTTTCAATGAGTCATAGGTTCGAATACTGTTTAACATGAAGTTGGACAGTCCGATAACCCAAGACACAACATATTTGCATCTGAATATTTGCTGAATTGATTCCCTTATATCATCGTGCACAAGCGTAATCCCATCAAAATATGAAACTGTGTGTCTAAGGTAAGTCTACGATGGATAGAAATATTTCACAAAAAAAATCACTACCAACATAAAGGTAGGGAAAACTTAATTTGAACTAAATCTTGTTGACCCCCTGAGTTAGAAAATTCCAACCATTTAATTTTGACAGCTAAATAGTTCACATGCCAGAGAATATCTATCAGTAGCATGAGAAACCTCATTAGGTTCCCACTTTAACAAACAAATAAATTAGCACACGTAATTACTTCTTCAAGCCAAAAGCATACAAAGCCAAAAAGCTGGAATATATACATATTGGATATGTATATATATATATATATATATATATATTTAAATTTAGGGAGTATCAGAAGAAACAACTGTTATCCTCAATATTTCCAATCCTTTACTCTTCGTTCCATCGTCAATACCTGCTTCATGTATTGATTTATCATCAATAAAATGCCTGTCCGTATCACTATCAGACTGATCTACGACCGACCTACAATGAGTTTCTCCGCATGAATTCAATGAATAAGTGTGTTTACTGAATTCTATTTTTGAAATAAATTAATATCTTTCCAAATAATAGAAAATATGCTTCAGTTCAAAATATTAGCCTTCTAAAGCAGGGTAGTAGATGTTCGCTAGAGAAATCAGATGTTTTGAAGGTCAAAATAAACTAGACTTAAGAGATTATTTCTTCCTTGGACGCATACATAAGACTAGTATTAGTGTCAGTCAACCATTGATTGAAAATAGTTGTATAATGAGCAGTTAAGTAATAGTGTAGATTACGGTTAGAGTCATAAGAGAACCACACTTTTGTTTGTCAGAAATCAGAATCATAGAAATGACTATTGAAGTAGAAACGAAAACCTGAATTATCACAGAATCCCAGTCAAAGGAACATACATTACTAGTGGATTTCAATTCAATTGAAAATACATATCTTTGAATAACTTCATTTATTCTGAGATGTAGAAAGTATAACTTGTGAATACATTACGTGAAGGAACTCGGAAGAAGAGGCTAGGCTAGTTTTCGATATACGTACTAGTGGTTAAGTGATCTAGACAACCAACTAATAGCCCGTAGGTCATGACTCGAATACCACTTCATCAGCTCAGACGTGGGTAGATAGGTGATATCACCATTTCTAGTCAATTAAGGTGGATAATTGTCTAGCGATGCATTCTGTCTTATGCTTATATTGCTGTGACCTCATAATCTAGGTTATGTCAAAACATTTGCAGGTATCACACTATCATGTAAATATAGAGATGATTGAGTTGAAATGTATTGGTTTTTATTATGATCTAATGATTGAAGGAATAACAGCCATATAATCGAATAATGAATAATCACCAAATACAGTCAATACCATGTAACAGTTTATACAAGTTAGCATGATTATTCCAATGTGTTAAGTAAACATTTTATTCTTCATAGCATTGATTATAGTCAAATTTTTAATAGTAACAATATTAAGTTGGTACAACGGTTCTATGTAAGTAAAACGCCAGGTAATATCTTTAACCTTCTCATACCATATGCTTAATAGTCTGGATCAATGAAAAACCCGAATTACTGAAGTGTACCCTATTAGTATCCCAAAGTATTTTCAAACATATCATAATATCTGATTGCAGAAAAACATTCAGTGGTATCTTTGAAATATTTTTTATCAATTAAAAATTAGTTTTACTCCCACAAGAAATCTGGCTTTCCCAGATTACATAGCTCATCACACCTCACCCCTAAAGAGACTAACGATTACTTGGAGTGCAACGGTAGTAATTAATTAGTAAACTCGAAGCTTCAAAAAGTTAGAATAAGGAATGACGCTAAAACACATGTATAGACTAAAGATGTGACAAGAAGAAATAACTATAGTGAATATTGTTTTCCATAAAACAAAAGAACAGTCGTGCTGCTTTAAATTTTCAAAGTTAAACATTATTAGTAATGACGAACACATATATTCAGAAACAAAAAGCAGCAAACAAAAGCAAAACCATTTGGTCATAACTTACATGAGAAGCGCTTGCTGCCATAGCAACTGCAGCGTTTGCCAGTGTGTTCAGACTACTGAAAGTGTCAGGTACGCTTGCAGCCGTGAGCAAGCCTGTTGTCGCATTTGGTAAACAACCACTAGTCACAACTAATCTGCTCAAATCAGCAACTGGTACACAGGAATCTAATGAGTACGTCTGTCCAGGAGCCTGGGGTGTGATAAGAAGTGCTGATGAAGGAAGAACTATCCTCCCTGGGAGAGAATTTCCTGCATTTTTTGAAATGTTTAGAACATGGGGCATTGCCATCACTGGAGCAATAGGTGCTTTCGTCATACCGAGAGACATGACAATCGGATGGGCTTGGCCAATAACGGATTGTGAAGGGTGAATCGCAGCAGAGTGATTGCTTAGAGATACTGACGGATTTGGCTTATCTGTTGTGATATGTTCGGGAGTTTGTAACCGTTTTAAGGTTTGCTGAAGACTCTCGATACTAGAGGGAGTAAGTTTCTGTAGTAATTGTAGCCAGTCGTCCTCATTTAATTGGATGGATGCAGAATTAATTCCAGAGTCCGAGTTTTCGTTCACTTCTGTCATCGTATTGATCCTCAAAATATTATACCAGTTGGCATTTCAATTTATTCATTTAGATTTGACATCATATCATAGTAAAGAAAAGTTGGCATTTCACAGTACTACAAGCCAATAAAGTGATACGACTGTAGTACTGAAGGTACCATGAAGACCAAAAAGACTATCCCACTGGCCAACTTGATTCAGGTTGACTTTTTCATCTAATGACTATTTGATTATCGCACCAATAGCAATAGAGCAATGAGCGACCAATAAAATTAACACAAGGTAAAATCGACCACATGCACACGCATCGCGCGTCATCTACATTGCTGACTAGCTTATACAAACTTACGTAATGCGACGCGTCATGAGTATTGTGTCTAGCCTACTATCGGTCAGGCTAATTTGCTATTTCACCATTGGTTGTAAATTCAGTGTCCAAATCAACCATTTATATAAAAGGAAATAATTTTCATCACGAATGCTGTAGGTGTGTATAATGCGAGCGTGGGTGTAACAGCTCTGAAGCAATCAGAAATTTTTGTATATACAGGACAACCGATCCCTAGGAAACAGTTTTTTTATGTAGTTTTGTATTCTTTTAATGAGGCATTATGGGTATAACACTATCTGTTAAATGGTGAAGCTTTGGTGAGTTTTTATAATCCACCTTTCAGTGAAACCCTAATATAGGATGATATCACTATAATGGCTGATGTGTGACACTGATTGGTTCCCTCTTTCACTGAAGAATGTTATTTAGACCTTAAATTAATTGTAGAAATTACATGTTCCTGAATCTAGCTGCATTGGTGACTGGAAAGAAATTCAAGCTACTGTTAAATGCGGACAATTCGTCGAATGTAACTATTATTTGTGATATATATAAGAAACGTAAGAGGCTATGATTACAGAGTTTCATCTCTTTTGTTACTTTCTTCTTTTGTAGATAAATCATGTACAAAACACCATTGTACAGCCAAAGAAAATGAATTTACCTGAAGAAAGATCTTCTCCATTGGACTACTTGTTATGCTTTTCATTAACACTAGTATGGTAATTATTCGTGAGGGTAAAATATTCATTCCAATAGGAAACACTCACTTGGTCATAATGATGTGTCATAAACACTGATTCCTTTTGAAACACCTGGACTGGATTCACCAGCCCAATTTTCGGCATATGGACTACAATTGACGAGTCCAAAATACAACGAAGCAGTCGTGCTGGATTCTACTTTTAGCCACTTGAAAAAGTAACTTGAAGACCTGACTGATTTCAGAATTATTCTGGATTCAAATCTTATCAGATTTTAAAAAATCATAACACTTGGAAGTTTCTCTGGATGAAAAACGGTATCGTCAATCGGATTAAATATAGGTGTTAATTATTGTCACCTCTATCAAAGGAAAATAAAATAAAATTGGCAGTATAGAATGCGCATATCTTATCTCGAGGCTTCTCGTTAATTCTCTTCAACCAGCCCGTCATGAAATTTCTGTGTAACGTAAATTACTATCCAAATCAATATTAACATCAACTCCTTGAATAGGGTTTCACTTCATTTGAAATCTTTGCAATCTATGATGTCTAAAATATTAAATACATAAAATTTCTATACAATCTCTTTTATTTGAAATCGGGTAAATTAGATGCTATCAAATATGCAAAAACTAGATTATACGAAGACTGCAGTGGTCTTTATCAACACTTAAAGTAGATGAATTGTAAATCAAATTCACAATTCACAGTTCAAACAGTTCGAGTGAATGCTTAATTTTCACCGTCGTTTACTTTGGAAACCAAGTTATTCAGATCACAGTATGTGATCAAGAAAGCAAGCACATTTTCATAAAAGTATATACTACTCATTGATTGAGATGAGTAGTTGCATAGCACTTACATCAACCAGAAGTGATTACTAGCCAGATCGGAGTGATGTTTCTTGATCAAGCAGATCACATGTTGTGATGTGAATAACACCGTTTCCAAATGGAACTAGTGGAGAGATTTCGCCAGCTGAACTGTGTAGACTGCAAACTGCTAACCAATTTGCAAATTATGAATTTGACTTACGGTCGGACTAGTCTGGCCAGGTAGCTGGCCAGCCAGAAATCGGGGGGTTTGAGGTGATTCAGCTCTCTGAACTGAGTCAAACTGATGAGCCCGGTCACGAATGAGTGAGGCAGCCGTCACTCCAATCTCCCTGGCAATCAAGCACTGCTGGTTCATATGAGTGTTGGGCAACTACTACTCATCTCAATGAATCAATAGTATATAGTTCTGTAGATGAATTGTAATTCAAAAGATTTCGTTATCCAACTTGCATAAAGTGATTATTTACTTACTAATTAATGATTTTCAAATGAACTCGAATTGATCCCAATCAGTCAGTGATAAAAATAACATAAGATCAATAAATTTCTTCAAAAACAACTGAATAAATAAATTCACATCTAAAATCAGATGAGGCTTTATTTTGATACTTGATGTTATTCAGGTTACTGTTGTTATTCTTGTTTTCAAGTTCATTATAAAAAAGAACAGTTTCTCGTACCAAGTCAGTCAGTCAGTATGCCTTCCACAGAGTGAGTATTAGAAAATCAGGGTACCTAAACTATCAAATTTAACAATACACAGTTAATCATATCTCTTAGTAAGACAGTTAGTTAAATATTGTGATTTTGAATAACCTAGTAATTAATGAATCAATTTTTGTTTTCTGTAAACATCTTTATATGTGTATATCTGGATTTATCACGTAAAAGAGTTCAGTGAGATAATTATATTTTTTAGACAAATTTAATAAATATCATCTCATTTCAAATCATCATAATCAATCAATAATAACACTATAATACTCTTAATTTAGTGTTAAAAGTTGGCCATCAGTCAACCCTATTTTATTATTGATAGCTATGAGAAAGACATATTTGGTGTACTGAAGAAACCCGAGTTCGTTAACAACATTCATAGACACTATCACTAAAATATTTAGTATATATATATACATCTTCGTGTTCCGATGACACATAGGGCTTCAGGCTTGAGTTTTGAAGTGTCGGCAGCAGTGGCGTGTAATTTTTTTTATGGGATGTGGTTGCTCACCTCACACCCAACCTTCCTTCTTTACCAGTATTACTACCGGACGAGTGGGGTTAAGAAGTTCGTTGACCAGGAATCAAACTCCGGACCATATGTGGCGTGGTCGGTGAGCCTTCTACCACTGAACCATTGAAGTATGGATGTAACTTATAAGTGCAGTTAAATAAGTATTTTCCTCTGAGCGAATTCATGTATAATAGAAATTTATTATCTACTCTGTATTCTTCAGAAGTATTTTCTTGGATTCAACAGAATATTCACTCCATGTAAAGAAGAAGAAGAAGTGAAAACTGATGTACACCTTGTTCTCATTCATGTGAAGATTGTGTAGAAATCTTACAGACAGAAAAGAATCAGTTCACGACCAGGCATGTACTTTTACAGAGAACTGTACTATGTTGATTATGCTTACTGAACAACAATATTTTGTGAATAATCAGTGAGAACTTGTTAGCAATAATAATGGTAATATTAGTAGTAATAAGTAATAATTATTGTAACTTACTATTAGTCACGTATGCAAACTACACCCTATCGCACATATATATATATATATATATATAGGTGGGTAGAGGCTCTAAATTGTTAAAGAAACTTGGTATCTGCACCATCAGAATACCCAATTTAAAAATGTACGGGTAGAGAAATACTCACACCCACATCCACACCCATACCTGTGCCTAGACTATTACATGCAAATACATAAACACACGCATGTGCACACTTGAACAACGTGTAGAACAATAAGACGTAGTTATAATTAGGCGGTCATTTAAAATTTAATAGAACAGTTAACCAGACAGATTAAATATAAAGTCAGGCATCGATACAACAATACGCGAAAAGGAAACACTAAACAGTAAAGGTGAAGAAGACTGAAAAAAGACTAATTATGTTTGGTAAATGTATCCTTAATTTTGAAGACAACTGTAACGCATATGTATATTAATGAATGGTGGTTAAACTTCACATGTAAGCCTAAACTGTGTGAAGACTGAAGAGAGACTGGGATTACTAGATAGATGCTTTGCTAAGATCATACACTGCAACCAGCAGTTGACAACTTACTCTCCCTTTTTATAATTTGATATGACAGCAGATGTGATGAGAAGACCTGGAGACCAAGTTCAAGAATATCGATCCAGGAATGCGAACGCATCAGTGATCCTGAAACGCGAATACAGAGCAAGCCAGTGAAACCAGGTGAAAGACACTATATTCGTAGGAACATCATGAGAAAATTGGGAAAATATTAAACCTGATACGTGGTTAGTTTGGGGTTGAGTTACAGGAAGATTCGAGGCGTTCAGTGTTAGATTAGGATGGATTTAGGGAAAGACAAGGGTTAGGGTTAAGTAAGGGATAGATTACAGCTAAATAGGGAAAGATTAGGTTTAGGGTTGAAATCTATAGGCGCATTCAGGGGCATTAATTTGTTTACACTCCTGGATAGCTATCTTTTAACTTTACCGACCTGGTTGGTCTGTTACTGTAATCATTAGAAACAGTCATGTCTTCACTTCATTTATTTTCATCGAAATTTCAACGGACTGTTTACAAAATGTAACTGATAAAAGATTTTTGATAAAAATCACCTCAAGAAATATTAGTATCCAGAAGTTGACTTTATTGTGCAGCAAGTAGTTTACTTTAAATAAAACCTAGTTAGTGGTAATATTCAATTTAAAGGCTAATGAGTTCGAATCCAGCTGTTATTTAAAGTTTTTGTTTTAATTTTGGCCCATCCCCTTTAGTAAGATTATCATCGACTACAAGATTTTGTCATTCCTAATGACCTATAAAAATCACTAACACAGTAAGTGTGAGCCGAGGTGAGTGGGAATTAAACGTATTCGTAAAGATAAAGTTGTTTATTGTGTTAGCCAGCCGTACAATAGCTTTACAGTACAAATCTTATTCCAGCCCTTGTTGTTAATGTCTGGAATGATTGCAACCTATTGATCTGTTACGGATGAAATGATTAAGTTAGGCCAAATAATAATTTGTTTTAATCATCTGAGGTAAATGGGAAAAAATCAATTGCCAACCATCTTGATTATTGTAAGATCACTCACTCTATAGCAAACACTGTTATTTTTCATACAATTTTATTTAGTTAGTGACTAATTGACAGTAACATCTGACTTCTGTTGTTATTTGACATTGTACAACCCCTAAATAAGTGTACAACTGTGAAGTTACATCTGAGGGTATGCCT